CGAACTTTGTACTTATTGTATACAAATGTCAGGATCGTGGGAAATAAATAAACAGATATTCAAGTTAAACTTCCCCATAAAGTTTACCATATAGCTAAGTTTGAGCCAAATATAATGCCATAACATACACTAAATATAAGTGCATGCCATATACAGCCATGCATCAACTAATACAATTTTATTTATGTCATTTCTTGAACGACAAGCTTACATATGTCTTCATCATTATTGATAGTTGATACTTGATACTAAATACTCATGAAAAGCCCCCCCCCCTTCCAGTGACATAATCTATGCCCATTAAAATGTATTTAATAACAATTAACAAAAAATGTATATTATGTATAGCCGTAAAGGTAAATTATAATAAATAAAACGATCATTAAATGATATGCAAGAAGTGTATGTTACATTTTAATAAGTGTTATACTTAAAAACCTATAGGTTCACCTAGTTTTAAAAAAATTTTGAGAACATATCTTACAACTTAGTATTTTATTTATTTTTACTTCTTTTGATTGGTATGAAGTAGGTATGCAATTGTTGTTGTCATAACATGGAATAAGTGGTTATCAACCCACACAACAATAATATTTAAACTTTAAGGCCGTTCATCTATATAACTCAATTTCACCTCTAGATGGATATGAAAATTTCATCAAAATTGTTTGCTTTTTCGTAAAGAATCTGGCCATCCATGCAGTAACGTAGTGGTATGTAATATGTGAGACATCTACAAATAATAATTATGACGATAAAAAAAAAAACTTAACGATATAATATAGCTATAGTCTATAAATCACTAAATAAATTGATATAAGTTACTCAACTTAAAATAATATGGTACAAATATAACTGCAGCCAGCAGCATTAAAGATTATAAGATATAGGTACAGAATGTCTATCGAGTTTGTCATCTAATACGCCCACCTATAAATACAAAATATACTGTTTTACCCGTCCTCTGTGGCTCTGTCTAAACATCAACACTTACTATTTGCTATTTTAATACGTCTTAATGAAAATTAATAATTTAAATTTTTCTACAATAATATTACACATAAACTAGCTATTATGATTAACTATAGTAATTTCAGATTTATAAGAAACACAAAAGCAACCATTTTAGCTATTGTATTTTTGTTTAAAGTAATTAAAAAAATAGTACGAATTAAAATATAGCTGATGTTTTGTTTTACTATATACGATAAGTATTTTCTAAAACTAAATTTCAAAATATTAATTAATAAAAAAGGTTATAAATAGGAAAACCGAATGGTACTTCACAACAATGTATATATTCATTAATAATATGGGATAGATAATTTATCAAAGTTGGTTATAAAATATTGTTTGTTATCTAAATTGTTTACACTGAATTAATAGCAAATGGTCAGCCAACAGACTAAACGAATTACGATTTTTGTAAATGTCGGCTGATGTGAGGATATTTGATATGACAGATATTGTATGTGTAGGAATGGGGAAATCTATTACTGAGTTCAATAGATAAAATAGGGACGACAGCTGCGGCAGAGACAAAAAGGAAATAATTCATCGTAAATGAAAATAATATAAGCTGCTGTAAGTAGTAAAATGATACATCTGTGGTGTATAGTTGTAAGTATAGTAAAGTCATTAAAAAAAAATAATAATAATTCTAGGTGGGTAGGTATTATTTTGCTACCTTTTTATACCCGACATTGTCATTGGTAAGACAAAAACTATCAAACACATATTCTTATATTTTTCTATTAACATCCGAACATCCACTAAATCAAAATATAATTATTATAACTATAAAGTGTAAATAAGTAAATATTGTTATGCCGGGCCGCATAAACAATCACTAAACATATAATGAACCAATAGTGTGGTTAAACATGGTTTAAGACAATTATTTAAATAAACCAGACAATTAATCAATTTTTTATGCAACCCAGCACGGTTTTATTATTTTTAAAAAAAACATAAAATTTAAATAGCACTAAGCTACTGTGTTAAAGTTATAATATTACACTAAATTAAATTAAATTCTTATGAATTTATAAACGTTATCTTATAATTTCCTTGCAGGTGTTTAATTATAATAATTAATTATATTCTGTTTCGATTAATTTCTTCAGCGATTTATATCCTATTGCATTTCCTTAAAATTGCAATGATTGTTCCACATAATGAATGGACAGATAGATTTACAATCGGTTCTGATTTTATGGTATACAATATACAATACTTATGACTTATGAGTTATGACTAGATTTTAATTTTTTTGTAATTATTTTTATTGATCAATTGTATTTTATTCTCATTTTTCAGTTGCTTACTCCAATATAACTTGCCACTTGTCTTTCAGTGATCGTACAGGTTAAATATTTGTCTCTGCTGTTTTTATTTTATAAATTGCACTTATCACATCCTAAATTATTATTTTTTTTTGAAGACGATATAATAGTTGTTTCGAGAATCTGGCTAACTCAAGGCATGTTTACAACATAATAATATTATATAATATAAATATGTAGGGTATATAGGTAACTACTATTATATAATAATTAATTGGTAATAATATTATAAAGTTAAAAGTATACTTTGTAATATAAGTTGAGTCCACTCTGAATTGTTTTTCATCGTATCAAAAATGATTAATCATTGAATTCAAATTCAACACATTGCAGTGACCTACTCAATGACGAGGTACACTCGACACAGACTATACAGCAGAGCTACTTTCCCGATTTTCTACAAGTTTTGATAGACTCAGTTAAGTGCTACTCACAAAAATCTAATTCAGTATAGGAAATAAGAATGTGCCTTATGTAATAGTGGTAATAATAATATTCAGGCAAACGAAAAATCCAAAGGCTTAATACGGTATGCAGAGTGACCTATACTTGTTCACAATTTTTGTATTAAAACTAAAATGATATATTTTTCATTAAAGTACAATTTTTTTTTATAGTCGTTTATCTTTTGTTTGTTTTAACCATAGAAGAATGAAAAAAGATTTACCTTCCTATCTCTCTATCGTTCAATGTGACTATTAGAATTTTTTTAAAATTATTAATTGTGTTTTATGAAAATTTTAACTACCTATTAACATATGATTATATATGATTATTGTATTTGTAATTTGAATTGACTCAAAAACACGAGTAAACCATTTATTTGCATAGTAGAAAAAAATATATATACTGGATAATGAATTCTTTGTATTACTCGTTAAACGGAATAGGTATTACAATTTCGTCAGTATAGTTAACAGTTAAAAAAAAAAATTACAACTCTATACAATTTCCACATTTTTTATTAATCCTCAGTATAGTTAATATGACGTCATATCGTAATCTAAAAAAAGAATACCCTTTCAGTATATTCATTAAATACCATTGTTTTTACGGTATATTGTTGTTATTTTTTTTTAATTTTTAGGGTTTCTCAATGAACAATAATAGTCAATTATCATTGACCAAGTGACAATTTTATATAAGTAACCATAGACATAAGTTATCGAGTCATTGCCCTTAAACAGAGAGTATGATATAAATTTTATTAAAAGATTATCAAATATTTTCGATAGGTAGTACAATTTAGAAAAATATTAAATAATCACAAAATAAATTTAATATTCACAAGGATTTTTATAATGCGATTAATACTAATGACTGTTTAATAATTTTGCATATTATTCAAAGCATTCTTAAAAATATTTTTTTATAAGCTATTATTAATTTATATTTTTTACAGCCGTAAGTATAACCCAACCTCTTTGTATAGGACATAGGTAAATCAACATTTGAATATAAAGATGTAAATCAAATTACTATTTTAAGTGAAAATGGATTATGGATAAATGGATATAAAAGTACTATATAGGTATAACCATAGGGATATATATTTTACATTGACACAACATATTTTTCGATATAATACCTACTACCCGTTATTACTAGTGAAGCAGTAGGTATACCTTTTCTAATACCTATAGCTTTATCTACTGTGCATATTTTAATATTTTTATTATATCTATTACAAATTAAAAATCGAACAATTTATTCTTTATAATTTTGATGAGATACAATATTTTATAACCATCCCTAAGAAATATAGCTCATGCCCATTGAATACTTAACAGCGTGTAGTAGTTAATATTTATTAGTCGTAAGTCGTAACTTCTTAAATTGCTTCAACATTTTTCAACAGTCTCTTTAAAAGTAAACATTATAATAATAAAATCCATGTTTTGCTTTGCGTCAAGACTAAGTTTCAACAGTTTCATATCACGTATAAGGCACTAGTGTATTTTAATGTTTTACATGTTATAGTTTTTCACTAGAAACATTAAAATTTAATCATAACAGTTTTACAGATTTTACAAATCTTTGAGCTAGTTTTATTTTGAGTAGGTATAAGTACAAGAAAATCTAAACGTGTTTCACGCCCAGATCAGGTCACTGGTTTTGTGATTGGTTGCAGACAGCTTTAGTGGATAACACGTGACGTTTAGATTGTAATTTTAAATACTTATAAACGCATTGATTATCGGATGAAAGGTAAACCGTAGGGCATAGGCGTGTGACTCGCTGGTAAACAAATAAATCATGCGTGTTAAATTGACAACTTTCAAAATTGATAAATTAAAAATCTACTTCGATGTGAAAATTGCATTTGTTTGACATGAAACCGGCATATAGGAAAACATAAATATTGTAACAATTTATTTATTATCAATATCATATTGATACTATAAACACCTATTTCTTTAAAACAAAAGTCTTCTGAAAAGTACAAAATACCTTATATTATATAATCGTAAACGACTACAACAAAAGCCCGCGCGCAGTAAAAAAAAATGGCCAAAAATGGTCCTATATAATAATATAATATTATGGTGAGAAAAATGTCTCTCTTACCACTGTCGATAAACGATGTGCTTTAAGTAATATTGGCGTTGGTGGTCCGTTTTATTTATTTTTTTCAGCATATAACGCACAGCAGCCATGTCACTGCAGAATAACCTGTATGATGACGGGGGCGGCGGCGGCGGCAAAAGTGGTCAGCTGAACTTGACTGCGGAAAATGCTTGGGACAACGACTTCATAATGCCCAAACGGGATCCTCTGTACATAGTCGTGCCCATGACCATAATGTACTCTGTGATATTCGTGACGGGCGTCATAGGCAACTCGATCACCTGCATGGTGATCGCCAAACACAAATACATGCACACGGCCACCAATTACTATTTGTTCAGTTTAGCCGTGTCCGATCTCATACTACTGGTGTCCGGGTTACCGCAGGAAATGTGGTCCATTTGGTCCAGGTGAGTGATGACGAGAACGACGCACAAAGTTTAAATAAAAATCTATTGTGTTAGGAGAATAAAATGGGCAAATCTAATATTAGTTTAATATGAGGCGTTATTAGATTTTCATGTTTTCGTGCCCCTATGACCCTATATTATTATATCAACGAGAATTAATTAAGTACGTTTTTTTTTTCTCATGCCATCACCCAATTACAAATATTTGTACAACTTTGTATGATGAAATTGTGATCGACCACGTTGACGTGAAAAATGTTTCAACTATTTAGCCTGCCGGTTTCTAGCCTATAACGCGGTCAAACTGTAGGTCGGTATTATGGGTACTAGCTATATAGTTATTGAGCCTAAAACAGGCGACGGTATTAAATAACAACTCATCCTGCAGGTTTTGGCACAAAGGCGGTGGAGAAGTATATATGTATACATATTATTTACAGTATGTAAGATACGGGCGAGTGGGTATGGACAAGGGCGGGGATGTTCAGAGCACTATCAGTTTTTAATTTTTACCTTTACATAGCCCAAGTGCAATCAAACATTTTAAGAGACAGGTCCGACGATTGATTATTATAATATTATAGCACAAACAATATTATATTCATAGTATTTAGTATTTACACAGAATATAACAATGGTATTTACAGCAACAGTCGTATCGTAAGGACTGGTGAATGATGGGGATAACACATTTCAACTTTGATAATACTACAGAGCATGACTGGGTCTCATTCGTGGTTAATAACTGTGACTAGTGAGTGAATTGATGCGCGAAACAGTGCCATAATAGATAAGATTTATAGTAACAAGTACTAACAACACGTCATGTTTTTAATTTCAAAAAATTTCAAAAAATCTTAAAATATATTTTGATCTTTTTTCTCGGGACGCACTCGGGACATTAAATAAGGGTAATTTTGGCACCCACGAGGACCCTGTAAATTGTATAATACAGTTTATTATAGTGGCATGTTTCTGACGGAAACCTATTAAAAACTACCAACCCCGTCATTTATACACTGCATTATAATATATTACATAATATAGTCCGCGTTGGTGATATTTATCTTGAATTCTATTAGCGACTAGACGTGGGGTTAACTTTGGATAAAACGTAATGTTATTGGCGATTGAAAGCTTATCATTTATCAGGCCGGCGGGGGGTGGATCTGTAACGGGGAACTATAGTAAAATAACATGTAAATGATACACAGCGTCCCAGTCACAACTTATCACTTTCAATCACGAATTACGAATCTGCAGTCACTCAGATGGAAATTATCAGTTATCACGAGTGTCGTGATTCTTCGAACGTGAACGATAAAGAGATTCGTGTATACCGTATACCCATAGATATGCAACAACTAGATAGCCGCCTCCTTCTTGTCATCGAAGTCGGCCGCCATTTACAAAGCAGGCAATGTTTACAAAATAATATTATCATAGTATATATGTATAGATAAATATATACGTAAATAAATAAATGTAAACATTGCCTGCTTTGTAAATGGCAGCCGATTTCAATATTGGTCACAACTGTAGTATAATGACTGCTATCTAATTGTTGTATTTATCTATGCGTATACCACAGATGTATAATATATTAACTACACAGAGCCGTCTTTGTATTATAAACTGTGTAATGACGTATTGAAATGCGTTATCAAAGAGGTGTATGTTTACAAAATGTATACGAATGCAACATTACGCCTGCATATAATACAGGGCGTAGGTATACCGACATAATAATACACCTACAGTCATAGGTATATAATATTATATGATATATATTATATATTATAGGTACATATTATCACACATATTATTTTACCTCTTTGATAACAAACTGTACGCATGTTAGTATGTTACCCATGAACTACTACACAGGACTGGACACTACAGAGAAAATCACGGACACAAAGTTGTACAGGGTTCGTACACATGCGATGTAACTGCACTCTGCCTGTTAGTAGTACGAACTACGTTTTTTATAGGATAACACTAAAGAATAGTGATATTAGTGATAATAACTGATAATAAATTTACTTTTTAATTTTTGAAAAACAATTATTAATAACACAGTTCAAGATAATAATGATACTATTTATAGAATATTATCAGAAAATAATTACTGCTTAAAGAGTGAACAGTTTAAGCATGAACTACTAAGGCGGTATTTTATATAACAAAATATTTCTTATCTCACAGATGGCGCTGTGTCGCATGTGTACCGAATATGTACAACTTTGTGGACGACCCCCTACTCTCCTCCTGCCAATAGTGTCCAGTCCTGTGTAGTAGTTCATGATGTTACCACTAAGATGGCTATATATATATTAGAAATAATAGTTAGTGGTGTACTGTTTAATACTATAATGTTTTCATATACGATCAGTTGAAAACGAATTGACTAAACTGCGTATTAGGCTTTATATACGACACATCTATAGTGGCTCAATTTCAAACCTAACCTCCAATAATAATATCATATTCCTTATTGACGTAATTGTATTTAAGATGAAACGTTTGGGATGGATTACATATATTGGAACACTAAAATACTAGGAACGTATATAGTTACACTGCAACAGGGACCCGGAAATCCCAGTCTTATAGTATTGATTAATGCGTACGATACCTAAATGGGCTAAATGAAATATTTAATATCATATAAATCTAATTTATTGCATTTATATTTGTAATAATATTATGTTCTATATGCCATCACTGAAGACAATAATTTATTTCACAGGGAGGTGGACAAATAGTGGCGGTTCTCCCTTCACTTTTTCCATTATTCAACTATAACAATTACTCATTTTTCTCGGTGGGTTCAATTCGAGATTTTTGTTCAGAATAAGAATTTCTTTTTAACTTGTTTGCTTGAAATTATAGTTTTTGGGAGGGAAAAATTACGATTGTTTCAAAATAAAAAATTGAATGCGCTCCCCTCGATAATTTCTTGTTGCCCTTGGCCGAATATAATCGAAGACTGAAGAATTATAGTACCTACGCTTATATTGTGTATGGCAATCACGTGCAGTAATACTATTATAGATAGGTACAGTTCAGTATTTTCCATAATATACGCTATAACTGTCGGTTTGCTGTTTGACAGTTTAAACTTTAAACTGCCGATACATCTGTGGTATATTTTACATGGTTATCCATTTCTACATTAAAACAATAAACGCACATCATCTGACGATGATAAACTTTTTTGAAAAAATATTTAGCCAGCGACTGGTGGAGAACCGAAACGTTAAATATTCTGCTCGAAATATATAAACACGAATCAATATAATATTCAAGTGTCAGCCTACGCAGTTAATCCGAAATAATTCGTAAACAATAAACGCGTTGACAATTACTTGCAGATATCCATACGTATTCGGCGAAATATTTTGTCAACTCCGAGGTCTGTTTTCGGAAATGTCTGCCAATGCAACCGTACTTACCATAACCGCGTTCACGGCCGAGCGGTACGTGGCTATTTGCCACCCATTCATGGCGCAGAGCATGTCAAAACTTTCCAGAGCAGTAAAACTTATCATCATCATATGGCTGGTCGCTGTGTTGTTTGCCATACCCCAGGTGAGTCCCAGCTGAGACTTAATATCTATTATAATATCAAAATATAACACTTTATACAGATTGATAAATGATAAGAACGCGAGAGCACGGTATTTTAATAATGATAGTAAAAATAATAATAACAATAATAGATGTTTATTAAATAAATAAATATATAACACCCCAAAGAGGTAAGACTACAGTAAGTGAAAAACAAAATTGTTTTATGTTAGTTAAATTAACATTTAAAGAGACTAACTGAATACATATCGAATACAAATTATACATAAAATATTTAAATTATAAATACAAGTTTTTAGCTTAGAACAGAAATCGAAAAAAAATTAAAACTGAATTTGATTACACAATATTGGTAGGCGACACACCGGACTGTCTGTAAAGTAATTAAATATTATAAATTAAAAGGATAAATCGGCTGACAGGATAATACATATTATAGATTCTAAACTTGATTAACAGAGTCGAGATTTAAACCGGTTAAATTAAATAAAAACATATTTAGAGGTATTAAAATGTATGCCATTTAATGAGAATCATACAGAAAATTGATCCATATTATGTTGCATAGAACTCATCGTTGGTAGAATGGATTGGCATAAATATTTTCATATCGTCCACAAATAGTTAAACCCATAAGTTGTAAATCATTTATTTAGGTAATTTATAAATAAAACAAAAAGCAATATTGTCATAGTTATCGTAAAATATACGTTGGATAAACGTAAGTTGTGTCCAATGAAGGGAGACAATTGTAAATTGAGCCGCAATACATTTCGATATCTGTGCAAAAAATTTCATACAAATATAAATATATTTTGAGGTAATTGTCCAATTTCTGAGTAATTAATTGCACCCAGAGGTTTTTTGAAGTATCTATAATATTATTTTTATGATAGTCATTTAGCATTATCTATTTTTATTTTATAAGTGAGTACAAGGCGATCACTATCCTCCAAAAATTGTTTTTTTGGTTTGGTTAAAATTAAACATTTAATTTAAAAAAGTGGGTACCATATAATATTATTATTATGTCTTGTGCAGATCACTGTAATTTATTGATGTGTTAAATTCAAACTCAATTATATAAAATCATTGTATACGAAAAAACAATTATAAGCGAGAACTACTAAAGATTACTAATTATATTTTATTATATTATTTCTATTAAAGTAATTTATTTTACTATAGTTAGTAAAACAGTGGCTCCGATCGATGTATTGATTTTTCAATGATGTTTAAATTGTTTTTGTGAATACGTTTTAAAGTAGAAAAAGTGATTTGATCTTTAACTTTGAAGGGTAGTTTCTAATGAAAAATCGGATCTACTTGGTACTAGACGAGCGAAGCGATCAGGGGAAGAGCCACCAATATATAGAAAATTTACAAGAAAGTAATCAATATATACGTTTATACGATTATACGATCAATGCCAATAATATGAAATTACGAAATTTACAACTACAGTTTGAAAATGAGTTATGTACCTACAACTGTACTATATAGTATGCGGACTATAGTGTCTTTCCCCGAAGGTAGTAATCCAAAATCTATACATGGTCACATTAGTTTTTTTTTCTGGGATTTTTTACCGTGGACTTTTTTTCCGCAGGCTTTTTACATACAAAACAGGTGGTAGTATAAAATATTTAGATAACAGATAATATTTTAGCATGTATATTGTATATACCTAATACTTATGTTTTTTGACTTATAACTTTTAAATTATAATACAATATATCATGACATATTGTACATAATATTGTGTTCATATTTATATTTTTATTTTATTTAGAATCTATATTTTTTACAATAAATTAACAATTAGTTATTATTTTCATTATAATATTTTATAATATTTTGTTATAGGTACATGGTAATTACTAATTAGGAGTAGAGTATACATGTGTTCACATTTATAATTATACATTTATATTTATACTTACATTTTTTATTTCTGAGCTTTTCTCAGTGTTGGGAATAGATAAATAAACAATTATCTAGATAAGATAAGATAATTTTAACAAAATATTATTTAGATAAATATCTTTTATTGTTTTTTAGTAATTTTGTAATATTAGATTAATATCAATATAATGACATAATATTTATAATAACAACGAATTGAGCCTTTGAAATACAGTTCTACGAAGTTAGTTTTAATTTATTTTTTAAATGGATGAGGAAATAAAACCTATACCTAATTAAATTGAATATGCTCATTATGGCTAGTATAATACGATGTATTGTGCAAGCCCGCATTCAGGTTCTCGTATTATCGTAATACCGTCGTTGGCAATAATAACAAGATATATATTCTTCTAATTTAAAGGGATTGGAAGCGACGATTTTCTGTCTTTATCTAACACACGTGCAACATAGGATTATAGACGTGTTCTATATCCAACGCACCGATTAATCTAATGAAGCGATAAGAATTCTGAAAACAGATTTGAATTTGTCGTCAAGTCTACTTGAGATCGACTTTCCCACATTTTTGATATTGTCCCACCAAAATCATAAAAACGATATATTAAAAATAGTAATTAAAAAATTTACATATTTCAATTTTTGGAGAAGTTTAAATCAAAAAATCAAAAATGTGGGGAAGTCGATCTCAAGTAGACTTGTCGACAAATTAAAATCTGTTTTCAGAATTCTTATCGCTTCATTAGATTAATCGGTACGTTGGAAATAGAACACGTCTATAATCCAATGTTGCAAGTGTGTTAGATAAAGGCAGAAAATCGTCGATTCCAATCCCCTTAATAAATAATTTATATTATATTAGAATTTTAGTAACATTGGTCTTATAATTTTGTAGGGCACTATAATATTTATCTAGATGAGCCCATCTTTTATCTAAGTTAAACATTTGATAAATCGTAACATAATTATCTAGATACTTTAAAAGGTAATTTATTTCAAAAAATCTTATTTAGATAATTCCCAACACTGACTTTTTTCGATGAGCTTTTTTTCCGTTATGTTTTTTTTCCGCCTACCGGTACAGTCACGTATATAAAGACGTTATGTACTGGTAATTTTCGAAGCCTTCGTTTAATCACGGTTAACAATCAACCGAAATACTGCAGCTATGATGGTTGTGCGAAAGGATGAAATGCTAGTGGAATTTATAAAATATTAACTCAAATTTATCTAGTCGAAATGCATTAATTTTTTAGTAGATCACTTTAGCGGACTCACTCTTTTAGTCATGTCTTATCACCCCTTTTGTTATTTTTGTAAAAGACCCTTCTCAAGCTAAGGTTGACAGTATCGTCTTTAGTATTAAACATTATTACAGCATTCACTATTGTTGTTGTGTTTGATCTCTAATTTTCCCAGATAATCGTTGTATGCCCCTATTATTATCATAAGCCTACAATGTTTGAGGAAAATCCCTTTAGGTTGATAATTAATTGTCGTCGGTATCTAATAGGTGGATCATTTCAACGCACAGCGGGTTGTTTATCCGTTTATTCTGCAAGTTTCATCCACATAAAAACACAACAGATGGGTCAATTATGTAGGTTGCAAGTTCCATTATTTGTCTGATATAACATTACGATTAAATCTGCTAGCTGTTATAACGGGCACTATATATCATTTTATAATTGTACGGGTGTTTCGTTCGTAAATTTGTAAGATTTTATTTTATTTAATAAAACATGTTTCTGTGTTGTAAAAAATAATACATCGTAAAATGAAAATCTTTCTTGCTATATATTAAAAACTGCAACAACAAAGTCTAAAATATTATTATATAATGTTGTATATTTTGAGTACCTACATACCTATTTTTTTCACTGATTCGTATTAATAAAAACCCGTAAAGATTTTTAAAATTAAATTATATCATATTTAATTTACTTCAAACACACTTATCTAATATTTTAATTACATAAAGTACACAATTTTTCTTGGTCCAGAATGGAAAAATATTGGTTAATAATTTTAAAATACGTCATTTTGTAGTTTTAAACAAACAACTTCACCTACCAAATGTATGTTTAACTGTCAAAAACATTTATTTTAGAACGATTCAATAAAATTAATCAAACCCACTTCCCACATTCTTATGTAGTTGTTTGTCATTTGTGACTCTTGACTAACATTTTACATTTACACAAAACATATTAATTCAAGCTAAAGTCGCTGTACACAGTAATATTTTGAACACTTTATGTAGAGGCAATATATTATAATTAAATGTCATTATCATTTTGTAACAGTTTAAATTATCAGTAGTCAGTACATTTCTAAGTATACTAACTTAAGTCTTAAATTGAGGCTGTTGAAAGCTAACCATTTTTAAGGAGGCGGATTTAGGATATATGTATGCTATATCCACCGTGAGTGATGTGTGACTGTGTGAGTAGTGACTATATAGTGACTGATGATTAGTGTGCGTCAGTTCCTTGAACGCATTTAGTAATTAAAGATAAATGATAAACCATGACCAATATTCTTGGAAATTCGGTATGTATATACCGTAGTCACAAGTCACTATATTTTGCAATCAAAAACGTTTCAACATGAAAGCCCCAATAAGCAGAAGAAAAGTTCATCCAGTACCAAAAGCCTGATTTTAATAATTTTGAAAACATGTTTGAATTATATATTCTCTTTTTTAGGTTATGTAGGAAATGGATTTTTGATTTGTCGTATTGTTTAATTAGTATAAAAACACCAAATTAATTTTCTCTTTTTATTTCGAAATTCCTTTTACTTTATGTGAAAAAAAAATTAATTTCCTACAAAACACAAAGAAAAGCAAAAAAAAAATTAAAATATGTTTTCAAAATTAAAATTGGAAGTTAATTTTTTTCCGCTTATTGGTCTAAATACACAAAAAAAACTTTCAACAGCCTCCAACAACATTTGTTTTACAGTTCCAATAATTTATTTTATTTTAATTTATTCCAATTTTTAGTAAACAGAAATATTTTTTCTTAAAACAAAAACATATTTTTACATTTAAGCAATTGATTCAAGTAAAC